TTCTTTGTATACTCTGGATATTAGGGTTCTATCTGAAGTGTTAGGAGTTAAAATTTGTTCCCATGATGTAGACTTCCTATTTACCTCTCTTATTGTTTCTCATGCTGAAAAAAAACTTTTTAGTTTAAGTAAGTCCAATTTGTTGATTCTTGTTATTAACTCTTGTGCTATGGGTTTCCTATTAAGGAATTTGGTGCCCAACCCCACAATATGTACATCGGAGCCAACTTTTTCTTCTATCAGATGCAGAGCCTCTGATTTGATATCAAGCTCTTTGATCCATTTTGAGTTAACATTTGTGCATGGCTAAAGGAGGGGATTCAGGTTCATTTTGTTGCATATAGATTTCCAGTTTTCTCCACACCATTTGTTGAAGATTCTATCCTTCCTTCATTGCATGCTTTTAGCCCCTTTATCAAATATAAGATAGTTGTAACTTTGTGGATTAGCCTCCATGTCCTCTATTCTGTACCATTGGTTCACTCGCCTGTTTTGGTACCAGTATTATGCTGTATTTGTCACTATTGCTCTGTAATATAGTTTGAAATCTGGTATCGCTGTACCGCCTGATTCTCACTTCCTGCTTAGAATTACTTTTGCTATTCTAGGTCTTTTATTTTTCCTTATGAATTTCATGATTGCTTTATCTATTTCTACAAGAAATGCTGTTGGGATTTTGATTGGCAATGCATTAAACCTATAGAGAACTTTTGGTAATATTGCCATTTTGATGATGTTAGTTCTACCATTCCATGAACAGTGTATATTTTTCCATTTTCTAAAATCTTCTTCTACTTCTCTTTTTAGGGTTCTGTAGTTTTCGTTCTATAAATCTTTTACCTCTTTCGTTAGGTTGATTCCCAAGTATTTTATTTTATTTAATTTTTTTGAGGATATTGTGAATGGAGTGTTTTTCCTCATTTCAGAAGTTTTGTCGCTGATATACAGAAATTCCTTTGATTTATGCATGTTGATTTTATATCCTGACCCTTTGCTGAATTCATTTATTAGTTCTATTAGTTTCTTTGTAGACCCTTTTTGGTCTTATAGGTATAGAATCATGTCATTTGCAAATAGTGATAATTTAAGTTCTTCTTTTTTTATTTTTATGCCTTTAATTTCTTTTGTCTGTCTTATTGCTCTGGCCAGTGTTTTGAGAACTACATTGAATAGAAGTGGTGATAGTGGGCATCACTGTCTTGTTCCAGATTTTAGAGGAAATGCCTTCAATTTTTCTCCATTCAGAATGATGCTAGCCTGAGGTTTAGCATAGGTAGCTTTTACAATGTCAAGGTAAGTTCCTGTTATCCCTAGTTTCTCTAATGTTTTGAACATAAAGTGATGCTATACTTTTTTGAATGCTTTTTCTGCATCTATCGAGATTATCATATGGTTCTTATCTTTAAGTCCATTGGTGTGGTGAATAACATTAATTGATTTCCGTATATTGAACCATCCTTGCATCCCAGGGATAAATCCTACTTGATCATTGTGCACAATCTTTTTGATGTGTTTTTGTATTTGATTCGATAGAATTTTATTGAGGATTTTTGCATCTAGGTTCATCAGAGATATTGACCTGTAGTTTTCTGTCTTTGAGGTGTCTTTGTCTCATTACAGAATCAGGGTGATGTTGGCCACATAGAATGAATTTGGAAGAGCTCCCTCTTTTT